ACCGAAAACTGCACTTTTTAGTGGGTCATAGATAAAAACCGCAAATGTACTGTGAAGGTGGTGTCATCTTTAATGTAAAACCTAGGCGTAAACAAGCAACAAGATGCTGCCTCCTTAAATCGGCTATCTGCTGTTATTAATGTGACGTGACATCAATCACGAAATTTGTGCCTCTCACAAATATCTTAGTGACGTTGATGAAATAAAAGGGACGTCTATTTATTCTTCACTAATGGCAATAGTTGAGAACATCGAGAAATCAAATTAATCGTCTTCAGGATAAAGTGAAGTCAACACTTATTGTATGCTACCTTTCTTTTTCTTTCCAAGTATGAATCGACCCTTCCCATTGCCCTGACGATCATTCTATCCATCATCCTCCTCATTCTCATCATCGTGCGAGTGGTTCAGTGCTGCCAGGAGCGAAGGTCAAAGAGACTTGCAAAGGTCAGTTGCAACTCCCTCTTCCCCCTCCTCCTCCCCCCCTTATCGCAGTAATTGTGCCATCCTTCTCGCATCGCTTTAGAGGACCAAAACAAAAGACCATTCACTAGAAGAGGGCGAAGAGGAGGAGGAGCGGTCAAAGACTTCTGTGCCGAAAAAAAGAGGAAAATTGACGAAGTTGGGTAAACACAAAGAGGCTACCGATGCTGCCGATGCAGCACCTATCGTCCCAGCCAACGAAAATGGCTCCCTCCTGCAGAGCGGCATTCGGTCTAATCCCACGCGTAAGTCTGGTTAACAAATTTGTCCACGTCACACATCCATTTCCCACTTTATAACATAATTCTTTCACCAATTCATTGTTTACTTACTCACATTTGTTTTCCGATTTTCTTCATACAAACGGTAACTGACAGGAAGTTGCCTATTCCTTATTTTAAACTACCTTTCACATTTTATAGCATTTTTTAAAACGAATCGAGTCACAACACCTCATCTTACTCAGTATACGAAAGGTCGATTAAACGCTCTTTTTCTTCACTGTGTTTACACCCTCCCCATCCACTTTTGAGAGCCGTATTGGTTGCATGAGTCGGAATTTTATTCAAGTATCTGCATGGTTCTTATTGCCCTCCTCTCCTAATTTATTCAAAACACGATCAACATTTCTAATTCAATTGATAGTCGTTCATATGCAGGCACTATCCATGTTAAACTTGCACATTGTCGTAATGTTGCGGTGATAGAATGTAGTTCCAATGCTGGTGACTGGTTTGGTGTTAGATTGTACCGTGACCTGTGGCATTCTGACACAAAAGACTGCAATGTACTCTCTTACGTTTAGAGATGCCAATCATTTTATTCGCTGCAGCTTACCTTAAAATAAACTTATTTGGACTATTTAGCATTTCTCTACTCTAGAAAGAATTTTTTTTCGAGGAGGTAAGGAGTAGTTCTAAAACTACGATTGCACACATGTGAAGAGGCACTTTAATCAAATTACCACAGACCTGGACGACCAATAACACAGACAATATGCGAGAGTCTACACGCCACTGTCACAAGTGTCGAACTCCAAAAGACTAAACGGACCTGTGCACGGTGCGCACGACTAACGCGCACCTTTGAATGGCTGTTGCAAATTCTCTCACTTTAATGGAAACGGTAGACAGACCAAATTGTGTTTTGAAAGCTATCGATGCCGAAGCCCATTCGCCTGATGGACATCAAAAAGGTTCTTCCTGTTATCAACTCTGTAAGTCCACCCTCCAAAACGGAAATCAAAATAAACTTTTCATGTATTGAATGTCTTAATCGTGCAAATACAAATGAAGATGCTGTTATGTAGCAGTTTATGGTGAAACTGCTTGAACAGAATCCTGCATGGTAATGGTTAGAGAAGTCAGAATGTAAGACTTGTGTGTATATCCAGCGGGCAGTTGAAGCATTTTTAGCATCACTCTGTTTTTCAGCGTCGTGGCGATGCATCGGAAACAAAGAACTCAAAAATAAACAGAGCTAATAAAGGGAATTATTCAAACACACTGGTTGTTGGCCTCACTACCTTTCTACTGTCTGTTCCAGACCTTGCAATTTCCATCTCACTGCGCTTGTACGTACATAGTTCTTTCATACGTAGTTACACATTGCTTTATGCTCAGCGAGAGATGTTAGCTCTCCACCAGGTCGTTCTCAGCAACATGTGCATTACACAATCTCGGAGTGAACTGAAAAGACTTACACCAATGGAATTGACAACCCTCCGGGGAACGAACCAGACAATTTCAATCCAAAGAGTTCATTATGCGTCTACAGTGCTGGCAGTGTGTGTGGGTTCAAATAGTGCTGTCTGATAACTTCATCAATTCTTGAGCTCTGAGCTCAAATTGTCACCACCCAGTCCTTGAACTTTTCGTTCCACCTCGTCCCTGTTGTGCATTATTAAATAGACACGTATCTCCATTTGGGCGCAGGTCTGCGGTGCGTCGCATCACTTCAAGTTGGTGGGCATTGTGGTGTGCGTAGTGTATCAAAGTGAACACAGTATGTAGTTAATTATTTGCAGTGCTTAGTCCATTGTCTTTTGTCTCAGAGGGGAACAATAACAATGCCAAGGATTTTTTCTTCTTTGGTGTTAGTTGATAACAGTGCAGCTTGGAAACTTGTTTAAAAATTCATTCATTGTAGCTATTGTTTTATGAACTGAAATCAACTTTTAGATTGTTATAAAGAAAACTAGCTTGTTTTTTATACAACAAGGGGAGCTACTTACAGGAAGGTCATTATCACTAAAGTGTTGAGTAGGTAAACAAAGTGCTTGTTGTGATTTGGAGAAACCAGGGGATTCAATCCCTACCTACCTACCTACCTACCTACCTCATTTTTCACTCCTCTTGTAAAAGCCATTTGTTAGGGCATGAGAAAAGTGTGGCAAGGCTTCTCCATCCCATTCGGTGCATGTAAAGCTCACTCGTTTTGCTTATCACCGCGGTACTTGTGGCTGGGTGCTCTCCTTGCCATCTTAATCTTTGTGTTGATAGATGCTAACACCTAAGGCTTTCTTGTTGTAAAAGATGGAAGTTATTTGGTTTTGTGCGACTTATGCGACTACAAAATGATATAACACCAGAGCAGAACATGTTTTACAAAGGCACAGAAGTCACTGAGTTTGTCTGTACGGCTCAAAGGACTAGCAGACCGGTGGAAACACAATAATGAAGTCTAAAGAGACCATATTATCTCAAAATGAGGCATCTTATGCGCGCTCCTCTTTTGCAAGTTTCGCGTCAGCCATCACAAAATGATCAGCTCTGTTAAGGGGAAAAGCTCGGTGTAGAGAATACACCAGTTGTGGAATTTAAGCTTAGTGATTCGCTTAGAAAAATTCACTCGATGCGAAGTCCCTGCCGGTATGGGAAATGGCTTAAGGAATGGAGGAGTGTGATAGCCTTCATGCTTTTTCCACCACTAGTTATAGCCGCACAATGGTGTGAATACCGAATACTCTCTGGCCGCTTCGGACGCTTTGACATTCGGGCGAAGGACTGCTTTTCAAAACAACATTAGTCCTGAATTCCTGCCATTTTTGCTGCAGTTTGTTATTTAGGCTTGTATTGGCGTTGACCTCCGTTCCGCCATTTGGGCGCATTTTATGCACCAAAATTCCATTCCTCAAAAAATATATCATTTTTCTTTAATTAGGCGAGCTTTGATATTCAAAATTAGTAATAGCTTCATAATGCATGCCTGAAAATTAAAAAAGGAAATGCAATAATTTATTTCCATGCCAAATAAAATCATACGCATTGAAGTTTTACAGCGTCGCCTATCAATCACCATGTGGGCGGGTCGGAACTTCCGCATTGTTAAAGAAAAACTGAAGGATGAATAAGCCTTGATAATCATATTGCTTAAAAAGATTGCTATAGTTTCCGCGTAACTTTTGATTAAATTTCATATAACTCGAAAAATCTCATCAAATTGAACTTTTTTACGGAGGGTTGTTCAGCTCCTCTCGACTGAGAGATTAAGTGTGATGAGAGGAGAGGTTGGGAGTGTCATCGCGTTTAACAACTCCACTCACACCATAAATCACAGAAGCACTATGAGTTCACTTGCGTCCCCATTAACATTCCACAGTTTCACTGAAAATTCACGTACGCAGTTAGGTGGTGCGAAAATTTTGTATTTCACCTCTTACTCACTCAGTGAAACTTTTGTACGACTTTAATGCGCTCGGTTTTGTAGGATAACTTAAGGAGGGTTTTGTGGGTCCTCTCCGTGTCGTTAGGTTCAGAAGCACCGAACTTGCTCTCAACCGGGAAAAGATTATCCAACCAAAGATCTGAAGCTAGTTCAATCACTAAATAATAGTCAGTGGAAAAGGCTTCGTAAAATTATTTTGTGTGTAGGAAAAGCTGAGAACAAGTCGTGGTACGACTCAAAAGTGATTCCCTACATCGACGATGGAGGCGCCTCGCTGGATAACCTCTACCTCCCGGAAAACGCAATTCAGGAGGTGGTGTGATAGGGAAGCTAGCTTTTCATCACCACCAGAGAGGCTATGTAAATAAACCCATTCCCACTGCTTTTAACCTCGAACGACTCGACTGTCCTTCGGCTCCCATATCACCTCATTTTACCTCACCGCACTTGCTGCTGCTATATTTGCAAATACTTAACTGAGATTCACCTCCCACCTGTCTCCCCTGTTTCTCTCTTCAACCAAGATGGCACAACCTCTATTCTGCATACTGTTTTCTTTTCTCTCTTTTGCCCCACCTCCCGGTCCCCGCTACCCAATATTGCCCACGGATTTACTAACAATATTTGATTTGGAAACAAAAACTCGAGTTGTCGCTTCCACGATTATTAGGAATTGGAGATGGTCCGGCAATCATACGATACTCAAATGCTGTTTTCCGACATTGTTTTGAAGCTCTTAATTCCCTGTGAAGTGAGAAATTTGCAGCAGCACCGCAATTTCATCTTTTTTTCACAATAAAATGGCGTTTTAACCGGATTTTCGTGGCTGTGATTAAACATTTCAGAATTTTGCAGGTTAAGGGGTTGAAACTTTCAGTGTTCGTGTTAATTTTTGCAAGAAACTCATTGACTTGCTCCACCTATCAATTCCTTTTGCAAGACTTATGACAAGGTGAATTTTTTACCAAAAAGTGCAAGCTTTTGGGGCTTTTGAATGAGACTTCCTTCTTGAGTAGCTGTGGTCAGAAATTCGAGATTTGTTGACACATGAAAGGTGGTTTTTCTTTATACTCCACCTTGACCAATCCCGAATGAGTGGGAAAATATTCATAAATTTATACACAATGGATTCTTTCATTCAAAAATGGTAATTACCCTAATGGAGGTGAAACTAACCACTGGGGCACATGATTATTTGTTCAAGGTTGGCAGATGTTGCACTATCCCAATGCAGTTCTGTAAATCAGTTGACGCACGTGAGAATCTTCATTAGCGTCAGATCAGGTAAAGCCCAGCGGGCAGAACACTTCAGTGTCAGTTCTTGGAAGAAAACAATTTCAAAGAGACGAGGGTTTTTTTGAGGAATCACTTTAAGTTTGACATGCCTCATGATATTGTCTCAGGTAGCGGAATGGAAGAATGGGCGAGAAATTTGTGTTTAAAGGGGGTTACCTTAATGGAATTTTGTAATTTCATGTTGCAATTAAAAGTTCGTAACAATGACATTCCGTTCGAAACTGGGAAATGAGCTGGAAATTTGCGTCTATGCCCTGAAAGTTATGCTGCGAGGTGGGTAGGGGAGGGAGGGGGGCAAAGGAGGCACATGAAAGCACCACATAGAAGCGTCTTACTTGGCCTCACACTATCGCTGGCGTAAAAATGAAAATGATCTATGTTTTACGGCCGAAAAGGAAGTAGCTGCACTTGGAAGAAAAAAACTTCTTGAC